ATGATCTTTGAGGTCCCTTCCAACCGTAACCGTTCCATGATTCTGTGATTCAACACAGCTAAGGTGTAATTTGTCCTTTTGAGTGGAGCAAAGATTTTTGTCCAAAGCGTCCTTGCCATTCACTGCTCTCTTCCTCAGCTGTTGGTATCATTCCACTTGCTTTTGTCCATGTGGAACATAGCTCTCGAGGCTAGTGCTCTTCCTCCTCAGTCTCAGCTTGTCATAATCTTCAAAGAGTTGCTCTCTTGTCTCAAGTTCCAGCATCTCATCCTTTCCTTTAAGACCTTGCATAATTTTGTGCCTCCCTCTGTGCATTCTCTTTTCCACCATTGGGAACGATCTCGAGCTCTGTTTTTCTTCACTGTTGTCTCTTTACTCTCTCCACCTTGCCTTTTTTAGTCATGCATTCATCTGGTGAAAACAGCAGTATCTCATCCCTTCTAGTTCTTCCTCTTGTGTCATTTCTGGTATGATGCATTGGAGAAGTGAGTTGTCCCTGGCTTAGCGGAGGGGAGTTGATGATAACTCACTGCATATTTTTAAATACTTCCCTGTGATTCAGAACCATCAAGCTGTTCTTCATGTCAGCCTTTGTAGCCTTACGTTCTTACTTGGTTGATATAATCTTCCCTTCTATTGTTTTTATATTCAGCAATTATGTTTTGGTTTTGGTTCAGGTATGTTCATACATTGGCTAGTGCAGTAGCATGCTCATCTTGAGAGACAGAGAGCCTTTGGTTGCTACCTTGCTAAAAATAGCAGGATAAAGATCAAGCAAAGATACTGGTGAGTGAATCAGAGAAACAGGACACTTTCCTTAATTGTGAACTCATCATGAACAGTTCATACCTGGCGGAGTGGCTTTGGGAAGTATTTGCGTATTTCTAAAATCCAATCTGAGCTGCATTCCAGCTTGTGGGGCATATCATTGTTGGTCGCATTTGTTGTAAGCTCTTACCCTTCCAGAACAAATACTTACACTGTACTTGATAGACTGTTCCTGTGCCCATTGGAGCTTCAGCTGGACTTGGCCATGTGACAGTAGTTGTTTTAGTGCTTTTCTGGCGCTTCTGTGAACAATTTGATGATGTAGGGAGATGTTGATGAATGTGGAGAGAGTTCTCTTTGTGTTGGCATGTATGTGACTTGCAGTGAAAGTGGAATAAGTACTTGATTAAGGTGCATTTTGATCACTTAAAGTCACACAAACCACATGAAACAAAGCTGAAACTCCTGTAAGATTCCCTTGAGTTTAGTGAGAATAAAAGAGGGAGAAGGTTTTAAAACCTGCTTCAGTCTATTCTGTAAGAAACATTTGTGAGCAGGCTCTTTTGATCCTGTGTCTGTTTAAATTAGGAATACACTTCCTTTCATACTCTGTCCTTTTTCTGTCCCCTCCTATTCTATGTCTTTATTAGGTTCAAGTCTTTCTCACTGCCTTTGTTGTTCTTCATGTGTGCTTTAGCTGTAGCTGATGTGCGGTGCCCTTGATGACAGATGTCATTGTGGCAAGTCTCTGTAACACATGCTCCCTTAAAGCTCTGTACTGCCCCAGTCCGGCTGAGTTTGCTGCTGTTTATCCCTACATGGCTCCTTGTGTGTGTAGTTCTGCTTCGGCCCTTTACTCGTCATGGCTAAGTGAAGTCTCTTTGCCCTGTCAGTATCAGTCTTCATTTCGTGCTTGCAATGGTCTTGCTTCGTCTGACGCTTCATAGCGCTCTTTTCAAGCCCTGTTTCTCGTGGTTGGCCTTCCAAGGAGCAATCCCCTAGATGTTGTGTACTGAGCAGGCTCGAGTATTGGACTGTCAGTTCTTTAGTGTCCCGCATGTTCCTTTGGATAGGGACTTCGTCCTCACTTCGCTTTTTGAGATGTCATGTAGCTCCTTGTGAGTACTGGTGAGGTGGAAAGAAAATTGTAAGCAAATTACTGCAATTGACTTTGAAGTATGAGAATGTGAGGTGTGAGTGTGGAGTACTTAGCTGACCAGAAGCTGATCTAGTCTCTTTCTGTTTTTCCTTAGGTCAACTGCAACGGCTTCACAATTGAGGATGAAGAACTCTCTCATCTGGGATCAGCCATATTTCCTGAGTAGGTTGATTTTAATATTTTTAAAAATAAAATTAACTTGTTTAAAAACAAACAAAGGTTCTTGCACAGGTATGGAAGTACATCTCTACTGAAAGAAATTTAATTAAACACTTAATTTGTCTTCTTTTAAATACCCTTAATTCGCTAATAAAATGTGGTCAATGATTTGCTGCGGTTTTGGGGTTTTTTACATCTGGTAATTTTGGTAAAGCTGTACTTGTAATTTGGAAGCTTAGATTGTGAACTGTATGCGGGTTGGTAAGGAAACAATTACGTATTTGGCTAGCAGGTTCTGGACAGGGACATCATGTAACGATCAAAGCAAAATGAAAAGGATTGCAGGTGACTTGCTCTATTCACAACTCTCTGTTTTGGCTGAGTATAATCCTTCACCTGGTGTTCTCTGAACAACATCCCTTCTACCTTTGTTCCTTGGCAAACAGTAAATCCCTTTCATACGTTCTTTCAGCCTCCTCAGATGTTTTAAAAACTGGGATGCTTTATGTTGCTATGACAGTGGAAAAAATATGTACAAGCTGCTTAGCTTTACAAATAAACTGCAGATGTTAAGTGCTAACTGCAGTTTGTGAACAGGGGAGCACAGCTCTCTTTAAGGCTGAGGAACATTTCTTCCATTTAAGTCTGTCCTTCCCACTTCATGTTGTGCCCCTGTTCTTTGCAAACCCCGTACTGAAAGTATTATCACTGTCTGCTAAGGCTGACTTCCTTGTGAGGCATAGATTACTAGTAGTTTATCTATGTCAAAGTAATCTGAAACTCACAGATGGCGAATTAAAGCAGGACCTGATTTTGCTAAGTGCTGCATACAGACAGTAGTAGATAGTACTTGCTTCACAGATTCTCCTTCTTCAGGGGGGTCTGTTCGAAGTCCATAGCCCTGATCTACAGATTGGAAATTAAGGCCTTGAAATGCCTAGGATCAGAGGCATGGTGGGGAGAGTATTAAACCAGGATGCTCTGGAAACACGTCCAATGCCATCCCTTGTTTGTAAATGCTCAGCGTGCAAGAACCAGATCTTTCCTACTTAACAGTTATGCCTGTGAGCTAAAAGGACTAAAGAGACAATCATTATTTTGGTAGCTTGGAAGAGAAAGAATGAAAATTATACAATTTACCTCAAATAAGCAGCAAATTGCACTTTCTCCAAGCTTGGTAGTAAGGGGGAGTGCTTTTCGCTAGCGGTCCAACTTTTTGCATAAGTTGTGTGCTTGTGTAACAGACAGAGATCACTTCCCTCCCACTTCAGACACAGATTCTGTTTATGTTTGCACAGAAGCCAGCTAAAATTTTAACGCCTATCTTAAGTTGCAGTGCAGCAAATGACTTTTGCTTTCCTGTGTTTGCTTGTTTCCTTTAGTTAGATGACTTTTTCTCCTCTGAGGAAAATTGTCTATCATACATACCTAAATAGGGTATTGATAGTTAAGCTATGTGAACACCCCTGTCAGCTGTCCTGTAGTGCTTTAAGAATGGGAAAATAATAACTTGCCTAGTCCTGCGATAATAGGATTTAAAAATTGTAATGATTCATTAGCACAGCCATTCTCCATATCATTAGAATAAATAACAGTACAACAGATTTTCCCAAGGTTACCTTCGTGTTAAGCCTCAGAATAAGAACAGCTTGCAGAGAGAGAGACTGATTCAGTCTTTCAGACTTTTTTTTTTTTTTTTTTTGTGAAGTGGCGCTTAACTTTTTGCCTGTTGCTTTTGGGGGTGGTGAGGGAAAAGGTTTACTTTTCTACTTTTACAGTGTTGCATTGATGAACCATAGCTGTTGCCCAAATGTGATTGTAACGTACAAGGGGACCTTGGCTGAAGTCAGAGCTGTTAAAGAGATTGAGCCTGGAGAAGAGGTAAACGCACCGTGTTTGAATGTGTTCTGTACGCATGCATCCTAAAAGTAGGATCCATCCTGCTTTTCAGGCTTCATTCCAATTAGACGACAATTTAATAATAGGGAGCAAGGATCTCTTGCTTCTCAGAGAAGTGTAAGACGTTGCTCTGGAAAAGTTGGGGTGGCTTTAGAGGACCGAAGTGATTCTTGGAGACAGTATCCTATTTTGTGCTAAAACACGGGAAGGCACCTGCAGCAGTCACTGTATATCTGCCAGCCTCTGTCTCAGTTTACCCAGCTGTAAAATGAGGCTGAGTTTACTGATGTTTGGCTGGTGCTTTGAAATTACAAGATCAAAGCAAATTATTACTGCTGTAATAGTTCCCAGTATAATAGTAATGTATTGAAATTGAAGCCAGAATAAACAAGGTAAACGGGTACAGATAAGTCCTCTGACTTCTGTTTGGACAGAGTATCCACAAAACATGGGACTCGGTCATATCACCTCAGTGACGTTTGCTGGGAAGTCGCAGAAGAACAAGAGTGTGTTTTTAGGTGGAGTGAAGCTGAATGGTGATAGATAGAATTCTGTGAAATTGAGTAAGGCTCTGGGTTTACCTTGAAACTTTCTCAATCAAATAATGAACTTGGCAGGGAGTCTTCAGGGGCAGAGCTGCTTTTTACTTTAGAAAAAAAGATGTTAAGCAGAGTCGAGGAGGATGTTCAGATATCTGCAGGGGATGAAGATATGGAACATTCTCTCTGGGGATGGAGTTTGCATAGAGTTTCAGTGGCTCATTTGTTAATTTAGTGGGCAAGGTTAATGCTGATCAAAATAAGTTCAGATTTGATTTTAGTAACTCCTGCTGCTTTCTGAAGTATGTGATACCAGTTTTGAAGAAGGGGAGAGAGGTTATTTTTGTGGATTGTAGCTGTTCACCATTGTGAACAAAGCGAGTATAGTTGCTGGAGCCAAGGGTGAATGACACAGGTGAGCAACTTCTTTTTATGCCATTTACTAACAATGATTTGTCTGTGATGTTGGCAGTCACTGCAAATGCATGGTGGTAATGGACAAGGACTGATCTTGGTTTCGGAATTTTACTGTGGAATCCTGGACATTTTCAGCATTTTTGGGGAGGGCTTACTGTGAGAGGTAGAGATGTGGAGTATTTACCTTGCTTGGCATCTTTTTTTGATTGAGTTTTGTCTTAGAAGCTGCATCAGTTCTCCAGGACTTCATGGCTTCTGTGCATTTGCTTTTCTGACACTTAAAAATTTTATAATGTGAGCTCGTGGGTTTGCTTGGGCTCTGTGTGGTCTTGCGGCCTGTGTCTCCATCTTCAGGTTCAATGTAGCCATTGCATCACAACATTTTTAAAGTTTTTGCCATAAATGGAGCTGCTGCATTTTGCATGCTTTGAAAATAGGGAAGGGAGGAGAGGAGTGTGAGGGAAAGTGTAAGATCACACAGAGTAAGAAGAAGAATATGTACTGTATGAAATAATTACATGTACACTTTAAAGAAGAAAGAAACCTTCAGCATAAAGACTGAGCAAAACATTTCAAATAACTATAAATGAGGGAATGGAACTAAAGCTGTTCCTTGGTCTGCAAAATGATCAACTGCGCTGTGCATATGACATGTTTCTTGGGGGAGATCTCATTTTAAAAACAGAGCATTAAAGCTAGTTGCAGGGGTTCTTTTCTGAAGACCATTGAAGTAGAGGCAAACTTAAGAATAGTGTATGTGAAGGGCCTTTAAACTGTTCAAAAGCAGGTTTTCTTTGCTTTAAAATATTGCTGCTGAAGTAAATCTGATATTCATTCTCCTAGAACTGGAGCACCAGGCCTCTCTTCTTTTCAAAGATCTAAAGGTCTTGTCCTAAGTTTCTAAAGCTGCTAGTGACTGCTGTTGCCCCAATTTTTGTAGGTTTTCAGAAAGAAAAATTTGAGATTCCAGCCTCCAAAAAACCAGGCCACTGTAATTTATCCTAGGCTGGATACCTGAAATCATTATTTTACTTCTGAAAAGTAGGCATCTCTTTGTAGTCTGACAGGAGCCTGAGATTTATGCTGTGATAGTTTCCTTATCCACACCTGAATCTTGCTGTCCTGGGTTTAAGCCAGGGTAATATTTGAGGGAAATTCCATAACCAATAGGAAAGGAAACACTTCTCTGTCAGATTGCATTCACAAATGGCAACTCCTGATGCTGCCGAGAGGCTTGGAATGTGAGGGAACAGGCAGGTGATGTGGCTGGAGGGATTCACAAGTTGCATGAATATGTACTCATCATACTACATATACCAGAACTAGTAGTGATAAATATGGATAGTTGCACTGCTTTTCACTGACTGCTGTGTTTTTACCATGTAGGTTTTTACCAGCTATATTGACTTGTTGTATCCCACAGAAGACAGAAATGACCGGTTAAGAGACTCGTATTTCTTTGATTGTGATTGCAGGGAGTGCATTACGAAAGAAAAGGTAATAAAATTAGTGTGAAATGTGCTTCTGACTGTGAAGGCACCTACCCAGGTCCTTAGATGTAATATTCTATCTGTTTTAATTAGAGTTTGGAAAGTAGGATAATAGGGAGGGGGGTGATTTTGTTTTTCTGTCTAGAAGACTTTCTGATGCTTGTTCTTTCCACTAATTGTGACACATCAGGAAATTTCCTGGTACAGGCCTATTTAAAGTTGAGCTACAAAGCAAAGATAAAAAGTTTGTGAAAAGTAGGTAATTATCCTGTGTCTATGCTACCTGGTCAAAAGAATTTAGCTCAGAACTCGGGGGGTTTTTTTGGGGGGTTTTTTTGTTTGTTTGGTTGTTTTTTTTCTCCCCATAACTGCATGTTTTCTACCAACTCCCAGCGAGCGAATCTGGCTTGGGGCAGTGGTTCCTGTTCTGGGATAGAGTCCTGCTGCAGCTCCCAGTTGGGACATCTCAGTCAATTCTAGGTGATGTCATATGACCTTGCTGGATGGTTTGGAGACGCCTGCAATGACATCATACCGGTCTTCTCACAGATAGGGTGGTTCTGGTTGCAGCCCCTTGTGATGTGCAGGCTGTGTTTATGTTCATTAGACATCACCTGGTGCCCTTCAAAGGACAAAGGCAGACATCCAGACAGTGTTCTGTAAAACAAGGTGTTAGTTATTTTGAAGAAAAGCACTTATGGGGGGGAAAAAAGATACCCAAACCCAACAGATACTGAAACAACTGTACCTGTGCAACCATTTGGACCTCCATCACTGGAGGTTGTAGGAGAATTGAGCTTTGTGTGGCTTATCTGCCATTCTAGCCAAGATCAGTCTGCCTGGCTTAATCTGATCCTGAAGTTCCAGATCATTTCCCCCCCCATTTTCACAAAGGCGTCCTTTTAAGAGCTGCTTCCAAAACTGACCAAACAACCATCTTCTTTCTCTAAATGGTGTCATCTTTTGTAACTTTTTCTCCAAATAGTACCCAATATTCTTGATTGAGGCCATTCTGTTGATACCATAGTGTTTTTCCCCATATTTACCTTGACAATTTTGCCACTGAGTTTACCGAAGCCAGGATTTCATCTGTGATTTCCAGTAACGTGCTACTCTTGGAATCAACTGTCATTCAGCCTCCTTCAGCTCTGGAAGGAGTTCCCTATAGCCCTCTCAGCTGGCAGATTACATAAGAAAGGAAAAAGAAATCTAGCAACAATATGAGGCTTAAACAGTAAAAGATCATCTCCAGATTGCAGCTGACTCTTCATAAAGTAGTAGGTTAGACAGAAAGAGTAAGTGGAGCTGTCCAGCAGAAATGGCAAAATATGGAGCAATGTGGTTTTGTCTGTAGATATGAAGGATCCTTTTCTCTGTTTAATATCATCTTGTTTTCTACTGAGCTATCACTTGGTATTTGGGCTTTTTTAGCCTTAAAAGTAAACTCATTTTAATCCCTAATCTTTTGGAAGCAGTGAAATTTCCTATCACAAAATCGAAAAGCTCTTGGATCTTTCAAAAGAAAGGGACTTCCTGGAAGTAAAGAGTGGCAGGTGAACTGCAAGGCGCAGAGGATTCTAGGATTCCTGGCCAAGGCTTTAGAGAAAACTTGCAGGTCCACGTTCTCTACCTTTGTTTTTACACCCTTTGAAGAGCTTAAGTTCCCATCTGTCTCTTAAGAGTAATTTTGTGTAGCAGGTGCACCTTTATTTGTAGGGCTTGGAACCTGCATTTATAATGTCCATTGTGTTTCCTTCAGGATAAAGAGAAACTGGAAATCCGCAAGCTGAATGATCCTCCATCAGCAGAGACAGTACGGGACATGATCAAATATGCCAGAAATGTGATTGAGGAATTCAGGCGAGCCAAACACTACAAATATATCCTTTGTCTCACCTTGACTCTACTTGCTTGGTGTGTGACCTAAGAATCTTACCTGCTGGATTGCTTCAGAAGTACCTGCAGGAGAAATACTATGACCATTAGAAGTTAAACTTACCTCTGTCCTCTTTGTGTCTGAAGAGTTGTCCCTGGAGACAAGGGGCAGTTTAACACTGCAGGTGATGTGGGGTTGTGAGACCTTGCGTTTGTTCCTTCCTGTGCGGTTCTCAGTTTCTACCAGTGCAGCGTACGGCTGCCTCCACACAACACGCCAGAGACTAGAGTGAGCGTAGGTGTGTCCTTGTGTTCATCTGCTGTCCTACTGTCTGGTTTTGAGAGGCTGCATGTGAGGCTGCAGCTATTGCTGATGGTTACAAGCCTACCTGTTGTAACAGCGGTGCAATGCAGACAAAACCGCAAGATTTGTTGGGCCAGAAGCAGACCAAGCTATCTCATGCCTGATTCAGTACCCACCACGTGGGGAGTTTCACTCCCCCTTCTTCTGACACATAGCTAGTGCGGTGGTGATTCACGAAAACTGCTTCTGAAAGCTAGTTTTGTAGAATATCCAAGTAGGAGGGGGAATAATCTCACGAGCAGAATATCTCTGAGTATATAGACTGCCTCTCAGAGTAGCTCTGGGGTTGTAGCGTAGATGCTTTGATGCTGTTTGAGAGAAAAGAGGACTTCTCAGAGCCATTCTGAAAAAGTTTAAATTGATTCTTCTTTGGCATTACCAGGTAGTTGTCTAATGAGAGGCCATCTATGTATTTGGTTCCTTGACTTTTTCATACCTCCTAGTGAATTACTGGAGATCTGTGAGTTCAGCCTGGACAAGATGGGTGCAGTGTTTGAAGACAGTAATGTTTATATGTTACATATGATGTACCAGGCCATGGGTGTCTGTCTCTACGTGCAGGACTGGGAAGGTGCACTGCGTTATGGGCAAAAAATTATCAGACCGTACAGGTAAATATGAGACTATTTTTAAATTTTTTTTATAGTGCTCTAATTCAGTAATCTGAATAATTAAGGCAAGTTTGGGCAGAGATCACTTCTCTCGGTACGTATTGTAAAAACATGCTACCCATGACATCACTACTCTAAAAGGAATGTTTAAATGCTGGGACAGATTTTGTTACTGTCGAAATGTAGGTGACATTGTAAGGTGTCTCTGAAATCCTTGCTTTGAGTTCTCAAAATAATTTTGTACCACCTTGGGTACTGTGCTAGTTCTGCTTAGCTGGATAAATACTGTTGTTACAATACCCTAATACTTTACTAAAGCAGAGCTTCAACTTGCATCTGCAGTCAGTATTTTGTGTAAGGTAACGGAACAAAGCCCGCTGTTGCTGCCCTCTCCCAGTCCTCTCTGCAGCAGCACGGTGGTGGTGGTTGCGGGCGAGCAGAGCCCTGTCCCAGGCTGGGGCTGAGCAGCAGAGGGAGCTGGAGCCGAGCTCAGCTCCGGCGCTCTGGGCTATGGGTGCCCCGACGTCCCTCCCCGGTCTCCACTGCCCTAGAGCTGGGGAGAACGTGCAGGCTGGAGCCCCGTGCGGGGCAAGGCAGCGTGCAGCCTCTGCTGGAAAAAATGAATGCTCTCTCCGATAAATTTTTCTGTGTTTTTACAGTAGTGATCTCGTTCATTAGAGCCAGCCAGTTACACACTGTTTCTGATCCTGCCATGAATTTCCCAAGCAGATTCTCATCTTGAGACGTGACTTTCTTGCCAGCTGGGGGGAGCGTAAGTAAAGCTCTCCCTTTGGACCAGATGCCAACGTAAAGTCACAGATCACTTGGCAGAGAGCAGCAATACAAAGAAGGAGCCAACGTTCCCCCCCCGGGGGCTCAGTACTATTTATCTTCCCTGGGACTTGCCCAGCTCCTCTGGCTCCGAGCCTGGCATTCCAGGTCAGCTCGGCTGATCCGGACTCTGCTTGCTCAGTGTGTGCGAGTGCAGAATGGCACGGGTGCTGTACGTGCTGCCGAGGGCCCCTCGCTTTCTGTTAAAGACCAACTATTGTGGAAAAGGCAGAGTTACTTCTGCGGGTGTAGGGTGGCTCCAAAAACTCCTAACAATGCAGTCTCTGTAGCTGGCTAGATTAAAACTAGTGGCAGAAAGTCATTGCCATCTGACAGCTGTTCAGAGGCATATGGTGGTTTCAGTTCAATTCCCAATTGACAGGCGTCCCCATCCCAGACACAATTGGCACTGACTCTTGGCAGTCATGGCAGAGGGGATGAGTGGTGAATGGGCAGGGGCAAGGAGAGGCAGCTTCCTGCCCCCTGAGAGGGGGCTGGGGGGGGGCTGGGAAAATGCTATGAAACTGCCAGGTTTGATAAAGCTGAATTTCTTTCTCTCCTGCAGTAAACATTATCCCTCCTACTCGCTGAACGTTGCCTCCATGTGGCTGAAATTAGGGAGACTCTACATGGCACTGGAGAACAGGACGGCTGGAGTTAATGCCCTGAAGAGGGTATTTATTTCCTGGTTTCTTCATTAATAATACCAGTTGCAGCATGGGATCATTGAAACACTACGTGCTTCTCTGTCAGTAAGCCTGGCTTGGTAGGAAATGCACCGTGTGCTCATGTATTTGGTTACTGGATTTTTTTGGCTCAGTTTTGATTTTTCCGAAGATGCAGTATAGTTCTGTTCTCGCATACAAGGGGGTCCTACCTTTTCATGGTGACCTCTACTGCAGCAGCTGCAGTGAGCATTATGCTTAAACATTTGCTGTATGTTCTTCAGCGAGCTAGAGCTGTGCTAGTGTAATGAAGCAGAACTCTAGCTTCTCCTCACTTACTTGCTAGGTAAGGACAGAAAAAATGCTTGGCTCTTACAAAAGGCACATAGTGTTTCATTGAAGTCTCTGATTTCTATGGCCAAGTTAAACTAGGCATGCTTTTGGTGGTTATTTGTTCTGGAACCAATTGGTTTTTAAATAGCTGAAGGGAATTCAATGCATCTGGTAATGCTGAAATTGGCAACTAGAGCATTTGGGTTTACATTTTTGTTCACCCCTTTTTCTAAGTCTGCTCCTTATTCTATAGGTTTTTTATTCTTTTATGTTTATTAGTCTGTACCATCTTTCTTAGCTTTCTTCCCCTATTGTTGTTGGACAGAAGTTTATTTTAGTTTCTTAAGCATCAGTGACTACTGTAGCATATAATGACTTGGTGTGGAATGTCACATGGGTGGGTTTTTTTTTTCCTTTTTAGTTGCTGGCAAGCTTTTAGCCAGCAATAACAGAGCCATCCAGCCATGGTGAAAGATACTACAAGAATATATGTTCTGAAATCTAGCTGTTACCTAGTTTAAAATTAGCATAGGTTTTCCTTTGCTGTGGTGTTAAAGCTTTTACTAAAACTGGGATTTGTGCCAGTAGGAACATGGCGGGGGGGGGGGGCGGGGGGGGGGCTGGGAGCTGTAGGTAGATTTGTTGGCATAGGAAGCTTCCTAACACAAACATTTTCTAATGACTCACTTCCAAAAACTGCCTGCAGGAGCTGCCCAAAGTTATCCCAGCCCCTGGTGTTTGGGATTTAGTGGAAAAACAAAGCCATTGTTCTCTGTCAGGTTGCAAGCGGCTGGTGCAGAAGGCCCTCCTCTCTTCTCTTGGGCAGGAGGGGGAACGAGTTATTTCTCACTGCTGCTAAGGTGGAACCAAAGCAAGCCTCTTGTTGTACTGACTTAACAAATAAAAGAGCGTAATTCCATAGAAGTTTCCCCAAGGAGAAAATGACTAAATGCTCTGAGGGCTAGGATGCTGCAATTCCTTCCTTTATCTTAGCACTGTGGTCTTTCTTTAAATAGTCTCAGGCTTGCTCTGAACTTGCTTCTTTCAGTGCTGCCTTTTATTGTATCTGTTTGGGGCCACTGCTGTCCTTTTCTCAAGAGGAAATCTTGCCTCTACACCCACTCTGCAGCACAGTGCGGATAGTGGCAGGAAAGCACAAGTCAGTGGGTTTGGCTGCCTGAAACATTCACCTTTGGGACCAGCGCAGGCCGTAGGTGAAACGGCAGGCAGGCGGGCACAGCAGCGTCTGTCCGAAGCTGACAGGATCTCGCTTTTGCCTGGGTGGTTGCCTAAGCAATTGCTGCCTTCGTAAAGCAGTGGTTGCCCCTGGAACTGGTGGAGGGTTTACGGAATCGAGTCTGAAATGCCTTAAGGTAACTTCGGCAGTAGGCCTGTGCCTCAGTCTGACAGCTGAAGGATAAATTGGTAGGAACAGAGCTCCGTCTGATACTGGTTAAGTCCTCTGCCAGAATATTACCCACCCCAGGTGCAGTTTCCTGTCCTGGAGCTGGTTGCATTCAAAGTAGTTTTGTCAGGAATATAATTTTGAAAGGTGCTTTGGGATCCTTTAAGATGAAAGATGTATTCTCTGAATGTAAAACCTTTATTACTTAGTTTTGAATTTCATTTTATTTCCTACTGGGTTTATGACTACAAGGGGACAAAAAGTAGCTAGAGGTGTCAGACTGTTTCAAACCTCTAAAGAGAGTATTTATAGCCTGGTGTTATATGTGAATCAATTGTGTGAATATTTTTTTTTCTTTTCATAGGCAATTGCTATCATGGAAGTAGCACACGGGAAAGATCATCCATACATTTCAGAGATCAAAAAGGAATTAGAGGACCACTGAGCCTTTGAATCTATGCAATCCTTCAAACCTTTATTTAAAAAGCCTTGTTATGGAAACCTTCAGGAGCGCTTTGATAAGCGGTAGAGTATGAACACAGTTCTGTCCTGTAATTGGAATGACAAACACACTTAGGCCTTGCAAAATGTTCCTACCTTCCACACAGCTACAATTGCCTTTATTTTTTACGGAAGCATCCATGGTTTCTTAAAGGTTATGCCTTTTGACAGCTCATGTGCAAAAAATAGCCATTTTTTTTGTTCATGGATTTTAATGTTTATCTTATTTGTGTAAAGTAAATAAAGTGGTCTTGACCTCTCTTGATTCTACTTGTACACTTACATGAGTGCAGTAGTTTTATGACGTCTACTTTTGCCTAAGTCATTTCATTTAATCTGACAAATTAATCAGCAAAAGCTGTGTGGGTTTTTTTGTTTGCTTTAGTATCCAGTTCCTCTTTTCACAAATCATTTTTGTTCGCAGTGGCTTACCTGAGGGTAGTGGGAAATGGGGATGATGCATTCTGTGGAGGAAAGCCACCAATGTTCCCCCAGCCAGGTCACCTGCAGGGATTCATCCCTTGGATGCCCCATCCCTGGAAGTGTTCAGGGCCAGGTTGGATGAGGCTTTGGGCAACGTGGTCTAGTGGAGGGTGTCCCTGCCCGTGGCGGGGGGGGTTGGAACTAGATGGTCTTTGAGGTCCCTTCCAACCCAAACCGTTCTATGATTCTAAGGACCTAGAGTTCAGCCTGCCCAGTGCAGAGAATGCTGGTGCCTGGGAGCTCGAAGGCTCGCACAAGACACAAACTCTGCAACTGCTGCCTTTGTAATCCTCTTTACAAGTCAAAGTGGATTCATTGCAGAGGAGAGCTTGTATTTCCTTACAGTCATACCTTTTAATCCACTGGAGGCAAACTATTAATACGTTAGCAATTACTTCTAATAGAGGAACAAGAACATTTTCTGAGGAAAAAACTCAGGACTTTTCTTTCTCTGCCCATATATAAAACCAGAGGGATTTTTTCCTCCATTTAGATCAATGGCAGGAGATTGCTTTTAAGGACAGGGAAGGAAGAAGAAGGAGAGTGTGGCTGTGTATTTCCAGCACCTAAGTTGAAATATGTTGCACAATAAAACTATATGACCGTTCCTTACTGCTTTCACAGCTTATAAAGTATGATAAGACGACTGCATCACTCACTCACCATTAAGAACTTTATCATATGAACTTTCTTATAAGTGCTGCTCTGAAAGCAAAACTGCTAGAAAGCAAGGGTTTGTCAGCTCATTTTGCTGAAAGCTTTCATTGCTCTCTAGCCAGCAATTGTTGCTGGAATACATGAAACTGCACCAGATCTTATGCGTCCAAAAAACCGGGGCCACTTAGCTACAGGCAAGGCTAGCAAGAAGCCACCAGCTAGCTGACTATTTTTATCCAAACTTTATCTTGTCAAGCAATGCCTTGTCCAGGGAAATAGCACCTTCCCTTCAGAACATCTGTCGAGAGCCCAGACTATACTTCAGTGCTAAAGGATAGGGTTAGCCTAGCGTGCGCACCAGGAGGAGCCTTGCCCCTGTGAAATCTGGATTACTCTTTACAGAAGGTCCTTCAAAACTCATTGCGGCCCTGGCCGTGCGCAGCAGTTCAACGGGGAAACCAACCCAAGCACAACAGGTGCAAATGCAGAACCTTAAGCTGGTACAGGAAACAACACAAGAAGAGTTTTCCTTGAAAAAAATGGTTTATTGTATACTGTGAATATGAAGGACAGCCTTACCAAAAAACCTTAGTGACTGAAGACATTCTCATATTTGCAAAAGCATGTAAGAAACTATTTACACAAAGGCAGTGAAAGGGGTAAGAAAATTATTGCAGTCAATTAATGCTGAATAGAACTTTATAAAAAAAAAGAAAGAAAAGAAACAGTGCAAAAATACTGTCAAAAGTAGTATCAGTTCTATACACAAGATAAAACTGACAAGCATAAGCTTATGGACTGATATGAATAATACATTAGAATATAAAATAGCATGCATAGATTTATTTTTTTTAAAAGGCTTTCCATGGCATAGAGTAGTTCTGCCATTCAGCCCTAAGAGGAGGGAGTGGGGGCCAGGAAGGGCATATAACTGGTGTCTCATTTCCATACAAAATGTGTACATACAATGAGGCCGTGAGATTCAGATCACTGTTTTGTTCTAAACTGTCATGTACGGAATTACAGAACAAAAAAACCAGGAAGCATCAAAATACTGAAGTAAAACAGGACAGTAAAATTCACTGACATAAAACTTAAACATGTTATTTCATGTAACACATGTCCCACACAATTATATAGGGGAATATTAGAGTCATCTGCATGTGTAAACTTTTTTCCTTTGTAAAATAGCCAAGGAAAGGTACTTTACTAATGAGGAAAACATATTTTCCATATGGAGCAATCTCAACAGGATAAACATCCTATTAACAGTGTTTCTGGCACTGAAGATTTGTTTTCTTTTAAAAACCGAGTAGCAGCAAGAAAATACTTTCATTTAACATACACAAAAATGAAGATACTATAGGCGTAATATGTAACGAAGTTGTGGAACTCACCAACCCAGGACATTGTGAAGGCCAGAGGAACAAATGGGTTCTACAGCAAAGGTAATGGAAGATGGATCCATCAGCAGTTATGAAACATAGTGAGCAGGATGCAACGTCCGCCTGAGGAAGCCCCTGAAGGACTGGTGCCAGCTGTGCTGGAGGGGCTGAGCACGCTCTCCTGGATGCATTCCTATTTCTTCCTTAAGTGTTAACTAACACCCTGTCTGGGATGGTGGCTGGGACCTCCAACCTGCCATGGAAGCAGTTTGTGGGAAGCCTTCCTCTTATTCCTGCCTGCCTCGTCAGGGAACGCTGCCCCTGAAATATCTGGGGCTGGGTGTCCGAAACACCAAGTCCTGACCCAGGTTTGGAAGAGTAAAACTCTTAAGCACTGTATTCATTTCAGGGGTGAGCTGAAGTATTTGTCTTTCCCTTACTGTTAAATACTGCTGGGATTCTTCAGTGAAAACTGCATTTTTAGCCCTGACTTGCAGTTCACCCTCCAAAGGCCAAGTCCTGCTGTTGTAGCACATGAAAAGCTCTCGGTGAGGGTGCACAAAGCGCAGGCAACAAAACCTCAAAGAAATGCCAGCTGAAAAACAGCTGAGAGGAACCAAGGGAAGTGTAGTCCAATACTCTAAAAGCACTGACAACATTTATTTACTTTAAATATTTATACAAACACTGCTATTTCTGACCTGTGCACTAAATGGTTTCTTTCACAATCTAACAATAGTTTCTCCATGGTTAAGATCTCCATCTTCTGTTGTTTGCCCAACAGCCAGCTGTTCCCTTCCTCAGATCACAATCCCTGCAAGCCACGGCTGCGTGCGGCTGTGTGCATCACAGCCTCCTCTCCGAAGTCTCGGATGGCACCTGTAGTTCCCATAGCACCAGGTTCTATAAGAAAACCTCTCTACAAGGCTGAGACTGATCTGGGGACAATTGCCTTTGCAGTTTTGGACTTGCAGCCTTTCCCTTCTTGGCATCAAAACCTATCTCCAAACTCCCTCTGACTTGGATATACATCAGCAGATATATAGCCTATTTTTATAGAGGGGTGGACAAGTCATGTTTTCATGCAGCGCTTCCCTTTCAAGCTCAATTCTGGGTATTTGCTCCTTCAATATGGTGCATCCTTTATTTGATGCAGCGGGTGCCACCCTGGCTGGCTGGCTGTAAAGCGTTCTTTTTCACAAAGACAAGCAGCAGCATTTGACTCTGACCTCTCCTGGGGATGCACGAGAGCAGCTGCAGCAGGCGTCAGCCGTACTGATGGTTTCACTTCCTGAGCACGGAGTTCACAAACTGTTAGGGAGACTGACGACAGCTAATTCAGTCGTCATCTCCTCCGAGGAGACCAGCGGGGAGCGAGCTGTTGAGAATGCAGCACAGGCAGTAGCTGCTGAATTTTCCCTATAGGTTTGTGTGCTATATCCAAGTACGAGATTGCCCATCAGCTTAGAGTCGCTTGTGGGCTACACAGACATAGCAGGTATTGGATCAAAACCTAACGTATGAGCTTAAAATGACCATCTCCATTGAAGCACTGAGACTTACTCTTTTTTCCAACCTATGTTTTGCCATTTGCATTTCTGTCTGTTTACAAGAAAGTAATTAAATAAAAAGCTCTTGAAATCATGCAAATATTTAATAATATTTGTAGCTGTGACAACTTATTTAAATAAGTGGAACAGAAATGTCCTCCAATATAGTTTATATAAAGGACTGCATTAGCAATAGGTTGAATAAGTTCTCACAGATGTGTCTCCTGCCAGCTGAAACTAGTTTAGGGAAAAGGTATTGCCGATAAGGCTGAGCATTTTAGGGTCCCTGTGTACCTATACAGGAGAAAGTTTGCGTGATCAAGCTTCATCTTTCCTTAGGTAATGAAGGCCAAGAGGTGGAGAGCAGGCCTGCGGAGGAGCTGGAACAAGCAGGACCTGAGCAGATGATGTCCACCATCCTCCGGCGCAGCCCGTGGAGGGGGGAAACAGGACGCCCACAGCACTGAGTTGTCCTCTTCCCCATCCCTGATCAGACAACGTTGGGCATGAAATGCTCAGACCATAACTTTAACCAAAAATTTGATGCCAGCAACCTCAGTACTATCCTTGGTAAGAGTTTAAAGACAAAAAGAAAGGTGTTAAATTGCAAAATTAAATGCAGATTAAGAGTGGACAGAAAGGAAGCCGTACACAATGGATTCTCAAGTCCCACTTGCTTATCCACTCCAAGTTCTCTCTCAGAAAGAATTGGGGAGTGTAGGCTAAACATGCCAGGCTGCAACGTGGGCGCCTGGGTAGGGGGCTGCTTCTGTCAAACTTCTTTGGGTGCACCTCCATTCATTGGTGATGCATCTTTGTGGGATGTTCAATCCAGACTTTACTCCAAATGGATGAAACTGGTCTCTTGGAACCTACTCACTGCCATGCTTTGATGTTAAAATAACCCAACCCATGTAATGCAACAGAGAGCAACGCCAAACTGTCCTTTCCTACTTAAGGACTCTGCTCTTAAAGCCTGCAGGACGCAAACTAAACGGCACTGT